CTTATTGATATTTCCCTTGAATCGGAACCCGAAGCCCTCCAAAATGCCACTCCACTTCTCGAGTCCCCGATGCTCCACTCTTGCCAAATTTCCTTCCAATTTAAATTGTTTCAAACTTGTTAATTGTTCACTTGTGAGCCATCAATTTGGTGTATAAAGATTTCCTCTCTGTATATGCGTTTTCTGATTTGCATCTGCTGAGCCTCGAGCCTCCTTCAGGCCTCAGATGACGGTTGAATATTAAGGTTTTAGATACCACGGTTGAGATAGGTTTACCAACCTCATTCATTATATTCACCTTATATATATAAATATGAGACAGTTAGAAATTTGATAAACTATATTTATGGAGTTGGGAAATTTTACTAAAATTATAATACGTAATCATTCTTTCCACCTGGTAAAATATAGGCCGTGACCTATCCTAATAGCATTCAACTTGATTAACATAGCTACAAGACTGGCCAAATTAATTATTCTATTGTACCCAATAAAATAATCTTGGAATATAAATGTCCGTGGAGCTAAATTACGCTGAAAAAATTTTTGAAAATTTTGTTTTTAAGTAATTAAAACAAAAGTTTTTAAGGTAAGGTAAGGAATTGTTTTTCATTTAAGAGATACTTTTGATTTTAAGTGAAAGACTTTTTTTCTTCTTTCTTTTAACTCGAAAGAGGGAACACTTCCGGTATAAGTATTACTAACGAGTCACAGGCCAAAGTCAGTGTTACACACTATCTTGCCTGAATAGAAAAAAAGAAAAATTAAAAAAAAATTAATCGATATTAAGATACGACCTGACAATACTTGACGTGCTTATGACCACGGACTTCTGCAATTCTGCATTGAATGAAGCAAGTAACTCTCATTCAAAGGTCTCGAAGATGTTTAACTAAACTTTTCGAAACTGTCCCCGTTACTGACATTATAAATGGCTTGACGCAAACAATGTCCAGGACTTTTTTTCATCATTATGAGTTGATGATTGCGCAGGGACGCAACTATTCGTGCTTGTTATTATTATTATTCAAAGAAACGTATCCTTGTATTTTTTCAAAAATCGGATCTCCTTTGAAGTAAAACAGTCATTTGAATTTAAGAAATCTCTCATTCTAACACGTTTTTTTAGATTAAGAAATTCTACTTCAACAAAAAAAATTCTATAGCAAGAGGAATTTGGTTTTAATTCTTATGAAAAACTGTTTTTTTGCCATTCATGTCAGTGCTGAGGCTACTTAAGACCTAATATTGACGACAATTTTGAATAAAAGAGGGGTTGTCTCGCCAAAGTTTGACGGAATATACCTTACACAATTTCCAAGATCATATACACAAATTCCCTTCCTGCTCTAAAACTCCGTATTCGTTAAGTTGTGTGAAAGTGAAAAAAACAAGGCCCGATTAGATCTCTCGAATTTTTGACTGGGATGCTAAGTAGCCCTTGATGCACCACTACAAAGTGTAGAAATAGAGCACGGAAAAGGGCTCGCGTTGATGATGGCGCAGGGATGCGACTATTCATGCTCGATGGATGTCCGTGTTGCATCTGCGAAATTGAAGGCGCCATGGCATTGGGCGTGAAACGTTCAGGACGCCTCCGTTGAGAGCGCTGAAAATCGATCGGTGGCCAATTTGATCTGTTGAAAATTTGTATTAGTATGTGGAGCACAAAGCAGGATGCTCCTCTGAATCCACGATTTGTCCTTCATCCATGATACTTATAAGATTCCTTTTTTGTGAATTATAAAGGAAACTTTTTCAAATGGAAATCTGGCAGCGGAATCGTAGAGGCTTTGAGCCTTACCCCTCGAAAACACTTTATGTGTTTCATCGTTCTTAGAACAATTGCACAAACTAATTAAAACTTGAGCTTTGGGTTTTTGTATATCGGCAGGCGGGCGATTTGGAGAGAGCGATTATCGTATTTAATGATTCCGACTCACGGAAACACAACCTGGGAAAAAGTTGCCTTATCAGTGCGATTGTTCACTGCTGTGTTGTGAGCACCGCGCCACCGCCCCGTGCCCGACGGCCTCCGAGCTTCGGTTTTGTTTTCCCCCGACTTGAGCCCCCCCCCTCCCCCTCCCCCTCCTCCCACAACCCCCAAGTACGTTGCTCTGCTCCCGGTGTAGCTTTTGACTTGTGGTGCGAGCCCTGGATCTCCTCTTTGGAATCGCGTCTCCTCGTTGCCCAAAATCCCCGAAAAGTCCAACATACGAGTATAATTCCTTCAAATAAGAGCTCTCATTTTATTTCATATTTAAAATCATAAAAAAACTCTGAATCATGGCCAAATCCATTCACCGGGCTACTAGAGAAGTTGTGAATCAAAGCACTATAGTACATAGTTCCTCTTGAACATTTCTCCAGAAGAAACAAAAGACACAACAGGAGGTATATAAATCAACTCCATAATAAGATATAAGTGTTTACAATTAACATCGGTTAAATGACAAAAATACAAATGATGTGAAATCTGACTTCCATCGATCTGCGTCAAAAATAATTGTTAAATTATCGTTTGAGAGTCGATTTCTGAACTTTCGCTTTTATGAATCGCTTCCTACAAAATATTTTGGGGAGAAAGCACGCGGTGTTATTTTCTATTCAGACCTTACCTAACGGCCTATTTTACACCGGTTGTTAATCTAGAAAAACCCTATGTCGGATTTTAAAAGCTATTTCTTAGTATATCGAAGTCTATGGTCAATAAATGCGCGTATCCAATTCCACATGGCAAATTTACGCCCTTGAAAGAAAAAAAATTAAACAAAAAATTTTCCTACAATTTTTGACGAAATTATCATGCCATGTCTGCCATTGAAATTTTCCTCCCCGTTCGTAGTTGTCTCTGCTCAAGCCGTTGATAAGGAAAGGATGTAGAAAGTCCCACAAAGACGGAGGAAATGCCTTCGATGAGATGTAATAATTTTCAACGCGCTTCGAACGTCAAAATAACACATTATGTGCGGAAAACGCATACAGCTGAGTGAGTGTTTTTACTGAAATGGGGAAATCTAATATAGAGCAAAATTTCCCTCGCGGAGTTATTCTGCGTGATTCAGTCATGACGTCGCACCTTGGTTCTGGTCGTAGACCTTGAACTTTTCTCCATCGAGTGATACGTCTTGCCCCGCCTTTGTCCTTTATGATGAACTGGGAGGCTGTGTCCTCTGGCCGCTATCCAGCTCTTGGGCTGTATGCTGCTTTGCGGCCCCACTGAGTCAATGTAAAGGACGGCTACTAGGCACTTTTTTTATCGCTCACCGTAAAAATCATGAAAATCGGCCCAATAGATTGCAAGAACAAACTGTGGCAAAAAGTGGAAATTTAGGGGGTCAAAAATTTAAATTTCTCGTTGTTGGATGTTTTTTTCTTTTTCTTTGTGATCAATAGTTTTTTCTTAAAACTACGACCGTGCACCCATGGAATTTGATTCATACTAAATTCTCTCCTGAGCTTCGACGATAGAGATTTGCCCGATTAGATTGAATCTGGGCGCCACGGTCCAGATTCCTATAGCTGAGAGCCTCTCCCCACACTCCGATCCTAACGTTTTCAGGAGAAAAGGGACGCGCTAAGGAGACAGACTTATCCGTGATAGACGAGGTACATTTTTTCGTAATCGTAAGCGCTTTAATCCCTCCGCACCGACGACGAAGCGACGTGTCATTCTGGAGACTCCATCGCGACGAGAAGGACCAAATCTTATCTTCAAGATGCTCGTGAGCCTGGAACATTAAATTTTAAAGCGGGAATTCAATTTCACTAAAAGGACACCGCTGTCTGGGGAGCTTAAAAAATCCGGCGACGCTACCTTTTACTGCTCGCGCGCGCCCATACGGAGCAGAGGTGTATTCAAATCCAGTGGTGCGCCCTCACTGTGTTTATTTATTCGAATAGATTAGAAAGTCGAGAGCGGTGCTCGGGGGGGGGGGGGGGGGGTGCTGCGGAGCGCTGGACCGGCTTAAGTCCCCAAAAAAAATGTTGCCAAGAAAACGCCAAAATTCGGCCAAGTTTTTATTTTCTCCACATTCCACTCTCTTACCCAAACTTCAAACAAAAGTGTAATACGAACTAAGTGTTGAAAAAAAGCACTAAAGAATCTGAATCAAATTTCAAAAAACAACGAGGACCGATTGCGTTTCTCCGATCTTCGACTGTGTTGCTCAGTAGCCTTTGAAGCGCCACTACAAGTAAGACAGACGGAAACAAACGCAAGATGGCAACAGAGCAATCGAAAGGACGTGCGGTGACTGTGGCTCAGAGGTACAACTATCCATACTTGACGGATCTCCATGTGGCATCTGCAAAATTGAAGGTGCGATGGCGCGAGGCGTGAACTCGCGATGCTGTGCTCTCTGCTGCCAGTCGCACTGTGGACCGAGTCAGTTAGAGAGGTCGGGCATGAACTTTTTGACTAAACTTGCAAATAATTGTGTTTATTTTGTCACATTTTTAATTTCAAGGGGTGCTAACAGAAAAGAATTTCACGAGGATATCACTGAAACCACTTTTAGAACCTCCAAATTTTGTATTAACGGAGTTATAAGCATTTAAAGTTCCCAATTTTTTCCGACCTCTCCTTGACTCGATCTATTGTGTGTCGTTCAGATTTGGTACAAGTGTTAGAAAACGATGTCTCAATACGTCGCTACTATCTCTGACTATGTTCACCCTTGATTATTTTCTTTTTTCCAATTTGATGTCTGATTCCTTTTTTTAGGATGGATTTGTTGATCTATATTTAAATCTCAAATCGATGGTGTAACTTCGTAACCACGCATCCCGTTTGCGGTGTTTAAAAATCTCCGCTTTTTTTATTTTTTTAATGTGGAACAAAGTGACATCATTCCCTAAACTTTTTGCAGAATGTTCTTGTTGCTGGCGAGAAAAAAAACTGCAGTTTCTAGGAATTGCCATTTAGTAATTTTCCATTTAAAAAATGAAGTATGACAGGAAGTTTGCCACGTCGCAAAGGGAAATACGTGCTGTTAGAGAACACCTAGAAAAGTGGGATAGGAAAGAGAAGAAGAAAAGAAGTCATCCCGAGGATAGTCTCGCAGGCAGCCACCTTAAAGGCAGGGCAACAAGAATAACTTAGGAAGAGAAAGAAGAAGAAATGTAGAGTGAGAAAGAGTTGTTGAGAGAAGTTAAAGGAATGTGAAGAAGAGAGAGGAGAGAGAGAACGAAGGGGCGTGAGATTGAGGATCGCCCTTGAAGAAGAGTTCGTGGCACCGTAAAGCTTAGCACCGAAGCAGAGTGCCGAAAAACGTGGCAACCCTGTTGAAGAAGTCTTAGCGCCGTATAGGACGTAGCGCATAAGAAGAGAAGCAGAGTACCGAAAGACGTGGCAACCCTGTTGAAGAAGTCTTAGCGCCGTAAGAACGTAGCGCCGAAGAAGAGAAGCAGAGTACCGAAAGACGTGGCAACCCTGTTGAAGAAGTCTTAGCGCCGTAAGAACGTAGCGCCGAAGAAGAGAAGCAGAGTACCGAAAGACGTGGCAACCCTGTTGAAGAAGTCTTAGCGCCGTAAGAACGTAGCGCCGAAGAAGAGAAGCAGAGTACCGAAAGACGTGGCAACCCTGTTGAAGAAGTCTTAGCGCCGTAAGAACGTAGCGCCGAAGAAGGGTACCGAAAGCCGTGGCAACCCTTGTTGAAGAGGTCTTAGCGCCGTAAGAACGTAGCGCCGAATGAAGGAAAGGAGCGCCGAAATGCTTAGCAGCTCCGTATACTTACTCGTACTTACTTGTAGACGTAGGAAGAACATGAGACAATGAACTCAGGAGGTTTGAAGAAGAGACTTGATACAATGAAATCGTGAGTGATGAATGAAAGAAGTGGGCAGAGCCCAGGTGAAACGGGTGCGGGCCCCATTGACGGGATGGCCGCGCACGGAGCGCTGCCAAAAGGCTCCATTTGAGCCTTTCAGCTGGAAATCCCGGTAAGACGGGTTAGACGTCCATGAATTATGTGTTTACCACGTCAAAGGGGCAAAGGTTTCGGTTACTGCCCTTTAAGCGGCCTTTGAATGGACCGCAACGGCAGGTCTACGGGGAGCGCGCTCTAGCGGCGAAAATAGTAAGCGCGGATCCGGGAATCCCCGGGGCGCAGTGGGCACGCGCGGCGCATAGCGGGATAACGAGAGTGGGCACGCGCAGCGCATAGCGGGATTCTTAACACACTCCCCGCTTTGAACCCCCGTGTTCAACTATATTTGACCCCAGGGTGTGGTCGCAAGAGCGGACACCGGTAGGAGATCGCCATCCCAAAGCTCTGATGATTTTTCTCGTCTTGCGGGAGGAGAATGAGTTGATTGGATCATCGTAAGAACGTGGTGGATTACGAGATGGTAATCGCTTGAATTTGAATTTTGATTTTTGCACGTTAACGCGGGTGGATGACGACCAGGAGCCATCCGATGACGGAGAGATCCGTTTGGGCCAATGTCGTTGAGGGGTAAGGTTTTTGTTAGGCGAAGAACGTTCGCTTTGTTTGGGGGTAACGGAGGAGCTTGCCGCTGATTTGATTCGAAGGGACGCATTTTGGGTCCGAAATTGAGGTGAGCGAGGTTTCCCTTTGATTTGAAGACACTCTTAATAACGTTGGAGTGCGACAACTTGAATTTGTTTTCACGGTTTGCGACGAAAATTTTCGGTCGATCAGCTTGAATGTGAAATACTTTGTGTATCACAGGTGCTTCCGTGTTTAACAGTGTATTGCAGTGTGCACAGTGCAAATGCTGTGCTTGCACCGGCGTGGGGCCCATCAAGGCCGTGCCGAAAATAGTTGGTATGGCCATTGGCATGTTTGCACCTAAGACCACGGGTGCTCCGAGGCGAAGGTATGGTAGGAGGTCGGCTCCGCACAGCATGTCGATTTTTCCTGGCAAATCAAATTGTGGATCCGCTAGTTTGAAATCTCGAACCTTTGTATGCACCTCTTGTGATACCCGTTGTGTGGGCAACGGGGCTGTGATGCTGTTCAACACTTC